ACAAGCTCAACCGACTGAAGCACCCAGACACCCCAGCTCAGAATCAACTTAAAGAAAAGTGTTAGCGGGGCGCCTGGGTGGCTCAGTCTGTGAAGCGTCCCACTTTGGCTCAGGTCATGATCTCGCAGTTCGTGGGTTCGAGCCCCATATCGGGCTCTGTGCTTATAGCTCAGAGCCTGGGGCCTGCTTCGGGTTCTGTGTTTCCCTCTCTCTCTGCCCCTCCCTTGCTCGTGCTCTGTCTCTCTCTGTCTTTCAAAGATAAATATGTGTTAAAACATTTTAAGAAATAGGAAAATGTTAACAAACAATTACGGTATCAATACGCAAACTGGCAAGAGTCACGAAGGGGACTCTGTTAGTTTCCTGTGGCTGCTGGGGGCAATTATGAGCAAGCCTGACTTACAGCAACGCACATTTATCCTCTTAGAGCTGTGGAGGCCAGAAGTCCACGATCAGCTTTACGGGGCTGCAGTCAAAGTGTTGGCAAGGCCCTGCTTCCTCCTAGGGCTGTGCGGGACAATCTGTTTCTTGTTTCTTCCCCTCTCTCGTGGCCGTTGATAGTCGTTGGCTGGTGCTCACATCACCCCAATCCGAGCATCGCTGGTCACATGGCTTCTCCTTCCTCTTCTGTGTCCAGTAAAATCTCCCTCTGCCTCCCTTTTAAGAGCATACTTGTGACAGATAGCGTTCCGGGTCCACCCAGACAATCCAGGATGATCCCTGTCTCAAAATCCTTAGTTGAATCACATCGGCAATTGTCCGTTCGTTTTGGCCAAACAAGCTAACATATTCACAAGTATTGGGGATGATGAGGATGTGGCCATCTTTGGGGGAAGGGGGGGTATTATTCAGCCTATCACAAGGGGGAACGAGAAGTTTGGGAAGCACAGAGCAGGTTAGGAAGTACGACTCATACTGGCAGAGTTCATACACCTGAGGGCATCCCCGTCCTCTTGTGCAGTGGATTTTGCCCTCTGCTCCCACCATCTCCTCACCAAAGATACCGGAGGAGTGGGATCCAGGGGGAAGGACAGGGGTCTCCGGGCCTTTGGGGAAGACAGACTTGTGGAGTGACCCTGGACCCCATTCGTTCACCATACCCTGAGACTCTTGGACACGGTTTGATTCTCTGGTGTCTAAATTGGTGATAGACAGCCACCTTAGAAAAAGCGAAATTTAAAATTGCACAGGTTCAAATGAGCTTTGTTTTACTCCGTCCGTCCATACAGATTACTACCTTGGGGCCCCAGCTCAGATTTGCACCGTCGTTATTTAAACTGCTTTTGAAACGTTCGTCCCTGGACGTTAAGAAACAAAGTAATTATTCTTGATTTTCTTATGGGTTCCGTTTACTAAAGGGAACCGAGATTTTCTGTGATTTCGCAAGGAGGCATGAGGTCTGGAAGTAGGCTAAGGCGCTTTGCCTACGAAATTAACGAAGACATTTTCTTATCGCATAATCAGGAAATTGGAAACGGGATTCTCGAGCGTTTCAGGGA